AATCCGCGTGGAGCTCGATGGATCACCGTCAGCGCCTGACATCTTTCGCGCCCGGAACCGCGCCCCCACGAACGAGCCTAGACGTGTGCACCTCGGACTCTCCGTAACACTCCAAGCTGGCCCACGCGAACGTATCTGAAATGGTGCTGCGGTTGCCGCTAGAAACGTCTAGTACTGCGCGTGTGTCACGGAATGCCGGTGTGGTGGAATGAAAGTAGGGGTTGCAGTTGTTTCATGGTGGTCCCAAAACTACTCCAGTGAAGAGCGCGAAATTTACTACTTCTTGCCAGAATCGTCCATTTAGACGAGGTAATTAAAGAAAGATGATTCGGGTGGGCTTACCTAAGTACGGTGGTAGTTTAATGACCCTAAACTACTACTCTAAGTAAGTCGACTAGCTGCTGGCTTAGCGAAATGTAAATTGACGGGGAAGAAATCCCCGCGATTTACATTTGTGTTAGGGCTTCGGCCCTAACACTGTCGAAATCGGGTCGCGCTTCTGGCCCGGCCCGATTTCGACAAATTTGACCCGAAATCGGGTCGGATCACGCCTGACCCGAGACCCGGCCCGACCCGACCCGTAGTAGGCACACGGGTCGGGCCTCTTCCCGGGTCGGGTCGGGTCGGCCCGTACGGGGCAGGGTTTCGAAATCCATGACCCGACCCGTGGAAAAACACGGGTCGGGTCGGGTCAGCCCGACCTGCGCGGGCCACATGCTCAACTCTGTTGCATCTGTAGATATTTTCCCCGTCCCATTGTACCAACATGCCATTTATAGTCCCTCTCTTGGGATGGATGCACGCATTGGAACTGCCAGGTTCATCCATCTCATGCATGCAGCACTGAACTCTAAGGATTGGGTTGGCAATAGTCTCCTTGCTAATGCCCGTTGTGATCTCCAGGATCGCCCAATTCCAACTTGCGCAGCTTTCAGTTTCCGTAGACTTAAAGTGAATACCGAATACTTGGTCTTCTTTCCGAATACTTGCAGTTACTCGGTATGCGGTTTCACTCAATCCCAAAGAAGTCCAATATAGTCGAAGTCCTTGAACAGCAAGGTGTTGAACAACCGAGTATTGCAAACTGAATGTTAAACAACCAAGCGTTGAAAAACTGATTCGAACATCACACAATATAAGCACCCCAAAATATGGTATGCGGTTCGCATGATGCGATATCCGCGCTCCGCCTCGAGCCGCATGCAGAACCGAATTTCGGTGGTCAACCTTGAAACCGGAATTCGGTGGTCAACACCGAAACCGAATTCGGTCACCGTCACCGCCACCGAAACCTATTTGTCGCATCCGCACCGAACGTGGTTCGGTATGCGGTTGCACATTCAGGTTCGCGGAAAATGTCTACTCGACATTTCCCGAACCGCACTCCGCGACCATTCCGCATTCCCACATTCACACACTTTCCTACCAAAGTTCCCCATATTTCAACCCCACCGTTCTAGCTGACGGTTCCCCAATCTAGGTCGTCGTTTTCCACATTAGGTTGACGGTTTCCCACCACTTCTAGCATTGCGCCACCGCCCCTATATCAAGCGCATAGGTCGGTAGACACTAGGGCAGTGGCGAACCACCCCAACATGAACGACGATGGATGCATGCCGTCATGTGAATGGATGGATGCATGGCTTCGTGTGGATGGGTGGATGCATGTCGCTGCGTTCCTGCGTGCATGTGGCTAACATGGCTTACTCCCACACTTTCCGTCCAACCCATGTGAGCAGAAACCTCTTTGCTAATAACCTCAGCGGGGAGATTCCACCCGAGATTGGAGGCCTCACTTCTTTGAAGTACTTGTAAGTTGGCTTGAGCAAGTACCAAACAACTCGAACCAAACTTGTGACTTGTGAGTATGCTTGAGCAGGCACTGAACCCGAATCAGGCCCGGAACTTTTGAAAATCCTTGAGCAAGTACCGGATCCAAAATGAGCTGTAAGCAGTGTGGGAGAGGCTGATCTAATGTCGCAATAAAGCTCATGGTTTGCGCAAGGAGAACACTCTTGCAAGAGTTACAGTGACTTGCAGCTTTTGCCGGGGTGGTGGCAATGCCTCCATGCCCCTCCGTTCCATTCCCACCGCCGTTCCCACCTTGAGAACCAGTTAGCCTACCACTACTTCGGTTGAACTTGAAATGAATGTGCCCATAATTTCCGCCTCTTCATCTCCCCTTTTCCACTACAGAAACATCTCTGGCACCAACCTCACATGCCCACCTGACGGCTCTGCCTGTGGCGTAACACAATTGCCTACCACATCCTTTTGCCGCACGTGTAAACCCTTCTGCAACACTTGCACCAACCAATCTGCAGGCGAGTAAATAAACACCAGACAGAGGTATGTTTCTAGTGTTAAACGCAACGAGACACAACGTGATGCATGGCGTAGTGCGCTTCGGAGTTGAGAATTATGATTTTGGAAACAATCTCACTATAGCGAGCGATGCATGGCAATGCATGGTAATGGTTGGCAACGCATGTGAATGCATGTTAACGCATGGGAATGCATGGCATCGCATGGGAATGCATGGCATCGCATGGGAATGCATGGCATCGCATGGGAATGCATGGCATCGCATGGGAATGCATGGCATCGCATGGGAATGCATGGCATCGCATGGGAATGCATGGCATCGCATGGGAATGCATGGCATCGCATGGGAATGCATGGCATCGCATGGGAATGCATGGCATCGCATGGGAATGCATGGCATCGCATGGGAATGCATGGCATCGCATGGGAATGCATGGCATCGCATGGGAATGCATGGCATCGCATGGGAATGCATGGCATCGCATGGGAATGCATGGCATCGCATGGGAATGCATGGCATCGCATGGGAATGCATGGCATCGCATGGGAATGCATGGCATCGCATGGGAATGCATGGCATCGCATGGGAATGCATGGCATCGCATGGGAATGCATGGCATCGCATGGGAATGCATGGCATCGCATGGGAATGCATGGCATCGCATGGGAATGCATGGCATCGCATGGGAATGCATGGCATCGCATGGGAATGCATGGCATCGCATGGGAATGCATGGCATCGCATGGGAATGCATGGCATCGCATGGGAATGCATGGCATCGCATGGGAATGCATGGCATCGCATGGGAATACATCGCATCGCACGGCGCGAGGAATGTTGAAAACAAAAACCCCTTGCTTGCTATCTCTGTTAGTGATCAGATTGCAGCAATCCGCACTGTGTGGTTGATCCTATGCTCATGTTATTCACAGAAATCAGCAGAGGCAGCAGCAGCAGCAGCAGCAGCGAGTCTTCTTCAGCAGGAGGTGGAGGTGGAGTGTCAGTGGGAGTCATCATTGGCAGTGTTGTTGCTGCTGTGGTCATTCTCCTGCTTCTGGCCGCCGCTCTGCTTTACGTCCGGCAGAAGAAGAGTAGGTGCTCTGATGAACCAGACTCTGCTGATTCAGTTCTATGTGGCTGTTTGCATCCATGACATCAGGTGGGGATCAAGGTTTTCACTGCGTAAACTTTGACATGGCCATGCAGGTCAGCAAGTCTATTCATGCTCGACTCAACCAAGGTTGAGACGAGATCGACCTCTCAAACCTCTGGCAAGGTTGAAATGAGTGAGATTGACTCGACACAAGTACCACCATGATTTGGCACACGCATTTACTTCGGTCACAAGCTTACAGGCTGGTGTGCCTCCTTGACTTGTGAATAGTGGACGTAAACCTGGGCTACATGATTCTGGAACTTCGGTGCGACAAGGTGTTGAGGCAATAGATGGTTTAAGGATGTCGTATTTTTTATCTGCAAATACTTAGGAGGGACTTCCATAGCCTGGCTCGGTATAGCCTCCTAGTACATATGGAGTCGTCAGTTTCATGACTCGTGAACTGACCGACAAGCCGCAAATTAACTCCGATTCTAGAAGCAAGTTGGGGCAAGTTACGGGGCTGTTGCAACTTGACTCGGCACATGATTCAACTGAGGTTGATCTGACTCGACCTGACTCAAATCGACTGAAAACTACTCAACCCAACTCGTGCTCAAGCCTGTTTCCCTGCACCTGTTTGCCCTTCTTTCACCTCCCACTGCTCGGAGAGTTCTCACTGGCAGAGGTCATCGAGGCAACAAACGACTGGTCCCCCGAGTTCCCCTGCGCCCATGTACCTTCTTTCACCCCTCACACCCCGAGCAGCCTCGGGGAGTAGCCTGATAGCCTCGCACTGCACGGAGTTTTCACTGGCAGAGGTCATCGAAGCCACCAACGACTGGTCCAAGGACAACCAGCTGGCGTCGGGTGCCTTTGGTGATGTGTTCAAGGGCGTGTCTCCCCGCGATGGCACAGTGTGGGCTGTGAAGCGCGCCAGGCTGATTGACATGGACTTCCAGAAGGAGGTTAGTGTGGTGCTGATATGGTGACCCATGGTGAGCCATGATGAGCCATGGTGAGCCATGATGAGCCATGGTGAGCCATGATGAGCCATGGTGAGCCATGATGAGCCATGGTGAGCCATGATGAGCCATCGTGAGCCATGATGAGCCATGGTGAGCCATGATGAGCCATGGTGAGCCATGATGAGCCATGGTGAGCCATGATGAGCCATGGTGAGCCATGATGAGCCATGATGAGCCATGATGAGCCATGGTGAGCCATGATGAGCCATGATGAGCCATGATGAGCCATGATGAGCCATGATGAGCCATGATGAGCCATGATGAGCCATGATGAGCTATAATAGAATGGCGTGTTATGTGGCCTAAGTTTCATTCCCCATTTTTCGCCTGGATTCTTTAGTCGACTCAAATTGCGTCATGTTTTACTTAATCATAGATTGTGTGTTAAAATGTTATTAAAAGACAAAAGGAAAAACATTAACAAAAGTCATATTTTCCCCTCTGCATTGGCATCCATGCTTGACTTTTTGTTTGTTCTTCCCGTTCTCAATCTGCTCCTCTTCCCTGCGACTCACCCTTGCTCTCTGGCTGTGAGGATCAGATCCAGCTGATGGCTGACAAGAACCATCCCAACATTGTGAGGCTTCTTGGCTTTGCCATCGGAGGCGACTTGAGGTCACGGGCAGAGCAAGTGCTCATCTATGAATACGTGCCCAATGGCGACCTTCGCCAATGGATCGATCCTAGTAAGTAAGCCACTCCAGTGTGACCTCTGCTTGTGCCTCGCGGGTGTTGTGATGTGCCTTTCATATGCTGTGCCACTCATGCTGTGTCACTCATGCTGTGTCACTCATGCTGTGCCACTCACGCTGTGTCACTCATGCTGTGCTGCTCACATGCTGTGCTACGCCACTCATATGCCATCCGCTCATATGCTTTGGCCCCCATATGCAACACCATATATGTTGCGCCTCCTTGCACAGGCAGCGCGCCCTCTGACTCTGAAGCAGCTTGCCTCTCATACGCTGTGTCTCACATATGCTGTTCCATGCATCCTTGAGATGTAGCCTGCCCTCTGCCACTCATGCTGCCACTTATTCCTTGCAGATGCCGACCGCCCTCTGACTCTGAAGCAGCAGTTGGACATTCTGACGGGCATGGCACGGGGCGTTGAGTACCTGCACAGCTTTGGCATCGTGCATCGCGATATCAATCCTGCCAACATCCTCATCACCGACACCATGCAGGCAAGTATGGCTGAAGTGACTCTTGAATCATCTGAAAAGATATCAATCCTGCCAACATCCTCATCACCGACACCATGCAGGCAAGTATGGCTGAAGTGACTCTTGAATCATCTGAAAAGATATCAATCCTGCCAACATCCTCATCACTGACACCATGCAGGCAAAGTATGGCTGAAGTGACTCTTGAATCATCTGAAAATATATCAATCCTGCCAACATCCTCATCACTGACACCATGCAGGCAAGCTTGGTTCTGGTACATCGTTTTTGTTTCAGAATGGTTTCCTTGGCGGAGGCAAAGCATTTTAAAATTTGTTCAGCCTAAGCGTTGGAGTCTGGATAAAGTAGCTAATGATAACGTGACCAAATCCTGAGTGGCACGGCAAAGTAGACACGAGCAAAACTCAAACTCAAGCGTGTTTTGCCTCGAACACAACAAACACTTACGTTAGACAAACTGAACGCATTCGGATTCGGTTTGGCACGAACGTTTCGTTTTTACGAAACCCGTCAAGTCCGACGTGATGTTTTTGAAAGAACCCGTCATGTTTGTTTCAAACGCCTTACAAAGGCGAACACGTTCATGTTCGCCGTGACTCAGGTGAACGCGGCGAACGAACTGGGGTGTGTTCTCCCAGAATGGTTTTGGCAAAAAAAACATCTGGCTCAAGATGTCTCAGATCTTGGTCGAGGTATGCAATCGTACTCATGTAATATGCATCTGGCTATTGTACAGTGGCTGACACCTGTTATGGTTGACCTCAAAATCTTATTTCTCACTGCAACCATAAAATCAAACTTACACATAGACCCTGTTTTTTTGTCAAGCCGTGCTCTGTTGTGGATAGCACCAACTGCAATCATTTGTCATGCTCTCTTTTTCACCCCTCACGCTAAAATGACCCTCAACAAAATCACCAGGCAAAGATTGCAGACTTTGGGTTGGTAAGGACGGGGGAGGGCACTTCCGTAGGCACTACTCGGGTGATGGGCACGCCGGGCTATGTGGATCCAGCCTACTTCAGCACGTGCAAGGCCACCACTGCCAGCGATGTGTACAGGTGAGCCTGGAAACCCTTAGACCGCTTTGCAGGAATCCCGTATAAACCATCATTGGAATCCTTCATAAGAGATGCTTAGAAACCATTGCAGGAGACACTTTAAAAGCATTGCAGAAGTCCCTTTAAAGGCATTGCAGGATTCCCTTAGATTTTATTTCAGGAGACCCTCGAAAGGCATTGCAAGAGTCCCTTAAAAAGCATTGCAGGAATCCCTGACAAAGCATCGCAGTAGTCCCCTACAAAGAATTGCAGGAGCCCCACTTAGAAAGCATTGCAAGAGGCACTTAAAAGGCATTGTAGGAGTCCTCTAGAAAGCATCGCAGAGACCCTTGGAAAGCATTGCAGGGGAACCTTCGAAAGCATTTCATCAGGGGACCCTTAGAAAGCATTGCGATGATCCCTCAATAAGCATTGCAGGAGCCGTTATAAAGCATTGCAGAGTCCCTTCAAATTATTGCAGGAATCCCAGGGGGAGCATTTGAGGAGGCTCCAAGTGCTATGTGTAAACAGTCAATGAGCCTGTGCACACTGCATTTAGGTGGCAAGATTCTTGGAAAGTGCCTCTTCTCTGGCTCTTCCTCTGCATTGTGTGCCTGATCATCATATGCCCTGATCATCATGTGCCCTGATCATCATCTGCCCTGATCATCATCTGCCCTGATCATCATCTGCCCTGATCATCATCTGCCCTGATCATCATCTTCCCTGATCATCATCTGCCCTGATCATCATCTTCCCTGATCATCATCTGCCCTGATCATCATGTGCCCTGATCATCATGTGCCTGTAAACTCTTCTTTCAGCTTTGGAGTGCTCATGCTGGTCGTGTTCACGGGACGCCCACCATTTGTGGAGGCTGATGAAGCGGGTCAGCTGGTCACAAAATGGGTAAGCACCCTATCCGTAATGATGTCGTCTCAATAGCAGAACGGAACACCCCTGTCTGCTGCAGAGTGTTTGGTTGTGGTATTTCTTACGCACGTGTTTGGTTTTGCTAGTGGTCTTCTTAAGGCGTGCGGAACACTCTGAGGGGTATTCTGTCCACACCTTCTTGTGAACTATTCCACTTCTACCCAACAGCTTAGATCACATCTTCTCAATGACATCTATAGGGTGTTTTTTAGAATTTTCAAAAACACTCTTCCACACCTTCTTGTTGGCTAACCTTAGTCCGTTTGTGACTTCTCCCGCCCCCTCCACTCCCTCAGGCGTCGGACTGCCTCTCCTCGGGGGACTTGGACAGCCTCAAGCACCCCACCGTGGACGCCCCTGCAGATGCTGTGCTGCGTGTGGTTGAGCTCGCCCTCTCCTGCACCGTGGAGCGCACTGCAGCCCGCCCAAGCATGGCGCACGTCGCCAACGAGCTGCAGGCCATCCGGGAGGAGGTGGTGGGGAAAGAGGAGCTGAGCGCGGCAGTGAAGGTGGATGTGCAGGTCCAGGAGAGGGAGGCTGTTGCCAGTGCGTTAAGCCTCGACGAACAGCTTCAGTTTCTAGATGACAACTTGGCTGAAGGATAAGATACCATATGTTTTAGTACCGTAAGCCCCCGGATAGAAGCGCAGGCCTCGGATAAGCGCCGGCGCTTATAAAAGGATGAGGGCGCTTATATCCGGTCCTCGATTATAAGCGCACCCCTGAAGGCTTACGGATTATAAGCGCCACCGCTAATTGTTGTATTTATAATTTTATTGAAATCGTTGTAACGAAACACACATTTTCATTCCCACATTTTGAATTTCGATACCCTTCACCTCGCTCGGCTCATCGCCAGCGCTTCCAGTCAGAATGACCTGTCAGGGGCGTAAGTTGACTCATTTTGACTGTATGTGCTGGCAGGGAAGCATTCCCTGCCAGCTTGTCCGAGCGAGATTCTCTATCACAGACCTGTATAGTTTCGACTCGATTCAAAATGCAATAACGAGATCTACAGTCATCTAAAATATATGCATTTCATATATGTCATTATATAAGCGCCGGCGCTTATAAATTTCCTCAATTATAAGCGCACCCCCTAAAAAACAGTGTTTTATTACAACCCCAGGGGCGCTTCTATCCGGGGTATGACGGTATTGACAAATAGCAGTTTTCTATTTTACAGCTGAGTGTATGTCAAAATACGCTACTAATGTTGGGCTGAGAAAAGCCCTTAGGATCTTTACAGGACTGAACTCATGGCTGACGTTTCAATTTTGAGGCTCCCTGACCTGGAAAAAAAAAATCTGTTTTAGTCTGAAGGCAGTTCGACCAGAAATTTGGCAGTCTGATTGCTCAGTCACCAGATTTCGCGTTGCCTGATCGTTCAGGTTCGGCAGATCGGCATCAGACAACGGACCACCACACGTTACCGCTGCCCACCTACGTGTTGATGTGACTCAGCGAATTGACTGCACGTGCCTTATCAGATTCTGTTTCGGACGAGTTGTTGTTACTGCAATTAGGGCAGGTCCAGCGCGTAGATTCACAGTTTGTTTTCAGTTCATCTGTCGTGGTTTTGAACGATACCAAACGGTGCACCACGTTTCTTAGGTCTTACCGTTTTGCACCGTGACGCAAGATGATAAACCGCACAGAACAAACTGTACAACAGCTGGAAACGTACGCGCTGGACCCGCCCCGTGCTGAAATGATGGTCGCGAGCGACAGTAGGCGGAATTTTGCAGGTTGGTTCGGGTGGGCTGATAGGGAGTTGAGCAGGCAGGAAATATTACGAGCGAGATTTTGGCAGCAGATGTATATACACTTTGTGTGCAACAATCTTGTTTACTTTCATAGGTTCTATCTTATATTTCACCCGTTTTGGCGCGGGGAAGAGAAGAGAATCGCAACTGTGAGCAACCTGAAGTGCGAAACGAAACATGTGGCGATATTTGTTTTTTGCACCGACTCGCTGTGCGATTCGCAGACAAAATGAACGATTTGTAAAAAAACGGACTTTCTGACATTGTTTCGCGCTTCAGTAGACACACATTCAATATGCGAAGTTATAATATACAAACAGTGTATTCTTGTGTCCAAGTCAATGCATTGACCTCGGCTTCTGTGCAACTGGTCTCCTATTCCACCACTTGGGTGTATCGGAAAGAAATTTCCTGGAAACTTCTTCTCGATACACTCGCATTCAGGGACAACAGATTGTGTACTCTGTAGAGACAGACTCCAGAAACGACTAATTCTGAGGACTATTACACTGAATCAGGGGCCATAAAACAGATCTCTCAGGCTCTCAGTGATGAAATTTTGACTACTCCGGAAATACATTTTCCACAAACTGGATGGTCTGATTCGTCAGACTAATCAGACTATTTAGTCTGATAGCGTCAGCCCTGACTGAACTCTAGGTAGGACTTGTAGTAGCGGAAGCCTTTTGATGAGACAGTTGAACCACCTTGCACTAGTGTGTGAGAGCAAAGTAGATTGATCAAAGCAGGGAGATACAAGGCCTTTTATAAGAGTACAGGAAATATAACTGATAACCGTTTTGCTGTTGCTGTTGCGGTTCGATACAGTGACGATTTGGGCAGCTGTTCAATAACGAATCAGCTGTTTGTCCTTGCTGTCGCACTGTACTTGTCGAGTCAAAGGTCGCGTGACCTTTGACCTTCGCGTAACCTCCAGCGGTTACCGTTCCTTGTCAACCTCCGATGGTTGACTCGCCGTTGCTGCGCTGTTGCTTGCTCCGTTTGCGTTTATTGTTTCGACACGACAGAGGCGCTTAAGACATTGCTTCCAACACTCCCCTTCGCTTCTGGAGTGTCGTTGCTGGTGACGTGGCTTTGTCCAGTCAGCAGCATGCAGTATTCGAACTTCTGCTTTCCGAGCTTCTTGGTCAAGTAATCGGCTGCCATCTCGGACGTGGGGCAGTATGACAGCTCGAGTCTCCCCTTCTCGATCTCGTCCTTCACGAAGAAATATCGCAAGGCGATGTGTTTCGTTCGGTTCGCGAATCCGCTCTTGTTTGCTATGCGAATCGCTGACTGGTTGTCGCAGAACAGGGAGAAGTTGGGTAAGTGAGCCAACTTCGCTTCTTCCAGCAATTCGCGAAGGTACAATCCTTCTTTGGTGGCTGAGCAGAGTGCGATATATTCTGCTTCAGCTGAGGAGAGGGCGATTAGTTCCTGCTTACTCGACTGCCAGGAGATAGGCCCGATAGGCTCGAGGCGGTAGTAGTAGCCCTTGCGCGAGCGCCTGATGTCAGAGTCTCCGGCGTGATCGGCGTCGACGTAGCCGATTAACTTGGGCGTTGTAGTTGCGTTCTTGTAGTAAGTTAGGCCGATCGTCGGGGTGCTGACGAGGTAGTGAAGAGCGCGGTCGAGCTCTGCCATGTGTTCTGCTTCGGGTTTCTTGAGGTAGGTGGCGAGCTGACTTGCGGAGTGGATAGATCCGGACGGCAGGTGACAGCTGCGAAGAGGAGGCAGCCCAATTTTCTCTGATAGTCGCGTATGCCGGCGGGTCTTAGCGGAGCAGATCCTTCCTTGTGGTTTCCTGCCGTGTAACGGTATGGTGTGGAGATGGTAGTCGGTGTGAGAGCGAAGCGTTTGGCGATGGTGTCGGCGTACTTCGTGGCGCTGAGATGGATCGCGTTTTCCTCTTCTTCGATGTTGAGGCTGAGATATTGCGTGACGGTAGATGAGACTGTGAGAGTGAGATCCTTCTGTAGCTCCCCTTCGAACCAGGTAGTGATACCGTCAGTCGAGCCGATGTAGACGATGAGTAGAATGTAGTCGGTTCCCTTTGTGAGCCGGTACATGCCCTGATCGTGCGGTAGTTGATGGAATCCGATGCGAATGAGTCGGGCGTGAAGGTATTGCTGCCACAGTCTTGGAGCTTGTTTGATCCCATACAGGGACTTCAACAGCTGACAGACGTGGTTGGAGTCCGTGCTAGAGCCATGTGGTAACTCGACAAAAATCTCTGCGTCGACGGGTGCGTAGAGAAAGGCGTTGGCGACGTCGATTTGCCGTAGCTTCTTCTTCTTCATGGCGGCGATCACGAGAAGAATCCGTAGTGAAGTATGTCGGCTGACCGAGGCAAATGTCTCGGTGAAGTCGCGTCCGTGTTCCTGGTCGAAGCCGCGTACGACCCAGCGTGCTTTGAACTTGTCGATGGTGCCGTATGCCTTTGTTTTCATACGAAAGGCCCACTTCCCGGTGAGTATGGTCTTGTTTCGCGCCACTCCGATGGGAACGACTTTCCAGGTGTTGCGTTCCTCTAATGCTTTCAGCTCCCTGTCCATGGCTTCGCGCCATTTTTCTTTGTGCTCCCCCCCCAGAGCCTGCTGAACTGTTGCAGGCTCCTTAGGAGGCGCCGTGCCGTGGACTGCGGTGACGAGGCCGAGTATCTGGAGGCCACTCTGTGTGTAGCGGGGGAGATTTCTGTCCTCGGGATAAGCTGCTTCATCACCGTCTTCTGGATCAGGTACGAAGTTGGGTCCTATGCGTTCGGCTTCATTGGTGTTGACTTGGGCAGGTGTAACAAAATCAGTGTCGATGAGGTCGTAATAGACTTCGGCGTTGATACTTTCGCGAGGATTTTCGTCGTCCATGGGGATATCAACCGAACAGTAAGGCAGGGGTCCGGCTTCTTTTGAGGCTCCATCTACGTTTTGTTCGTCCAGGTCAGCTTCGTCCGCTGCCGAGGCGAAGGCTCGGTCACCGCGAAAACCACCTGTGGGGTCCCGTTGTTCTTCCAGGTTGGCAAGTTACGTCGGGAGTGTGAGCCGCTCGTAGAAAATGACATCACGTGCTGCTACTGTTTCTTTTGAGTGGACGTCGAAAATTTTCCACGCGTTGTAGTTCTTTTCGATGCCCAGGTGTAGTCCCCACTGTGCACGTTGGGAGAATCGGCCGGCTCTTGCAGCTGGGGGTCGGTACTGTACCATGCAGCCGAAAACCCGTAACATTTTTGTGCTGCCCAGTTTTCCTGTCCACAGCAGATGCGGTGATGCGTTGTTCGAGAGGGACGACGAGAGCAAGTTGTGCAGCATGACGGCGTGGTCCATCGCTTCAGGCCACTGGTGGTTGGGTAGCCGCATGCCACGTAGCAGTTTGCGCATGGTGTTCTGCAGAGTCCTGTTCATTCTTTCTGCCACGCCTTGCTGTTGATGGGCGTAGGGGAGGGAGATGAGCCTTTTGATGCCTCGTTTTGCTAAGTACTGTTTGAATCGCTGTGACTGATATTCTCCTCCCCCGTCTGTTCGGAAACTTTTCAGCTTTACTCCTGACTCTCGTTCTGCCGCTGGGAGCCAGGCGACGAAGGCTTCGAAGGCCATGTCTCGGCTAGGAAGGTTGAAGTGCCAGACGTAGCGTGTGGCGGCGTCTATGAACGTGATGACGTAGCTGTATGTTCCTTGTCCGGGTTCACGGTTGTACAGGATGTCGCTGTACACCTTCTCCAGTGGTGCGTACGCTGGTGCGCTCGGGTTGTGGTGAGAGACGAACGGCTGATGCGGTAAGTCGGCTTCAGGACAGGTGAAACATGTTCCTCTGACTCGTTGGATTTCTCTCCCGTCGTGTAGTAG